TTAACGTTACCGGGGCCCCGTTTATATGCTCATCCCTTTTAGGGAAATTTGTGTTTTTTTTAATCTCGTTTCAGGTGTATTTCCATAAAGATTTCCAGAAGATTTTCTCTTCAAGACAACCAGGAAGCCGCTACCAGATTGAAGATTATGCGCATAAATGAAATCATGTGGAGCAAAAATAAAACGTAAGAAAAAACTTTAATTATATTGTATTATTATTATTGGATCTTTATAATAGTGTATCGATATTATTGTATTATATTAGTCTTAAACTAATGTTTAGTTAAGGGTCCTTTTGACGTAAAAATTTCGGTCGAATATTTTGTAATTTATTTTCAAATTAATTTAAAATAATAATCAATTTTTATTTCATAATTATCCATCACTTTCCAGGGGCCAACCAGGACCAACAGAAGACTGCTGACGGATCAAGACCAACAGAAGAAAACTGCCGGATTGGTGAATATCAAGATGAATATGAAGTGTGAGAAGACTTCAGTTATATTATTCTATTATTATTAAGTAATTACTATTAAGTAGTTATATTATTCATAAGGGGCGTTTTCGGTCATACGTTTTTTAAAGTTGTTCGCGTATTATTAATTCGCGTTTTCACGTTAATATCTTCAGTCATACCTTTTTTGGGGTTTTTCGCGTACTTTTGTTTGAGCTCAGAGGGGGTGGCGTTCTGGAAGAACCTTTCTTTTTTCCGCGCTTTTTTACATTAATTAATTAATAATTGCAAATCACAAAATTATTTGTCTATAAGCTTCATAGGCTGGGAGACTATGAAGTCTTTTTTCCAAGTAATTGCATGGTGTATTTGGGGAGTACTTCTGTACTCTGGGGGGTACATCATGTGGATGCTTTTTTTTATAATATCACAATCACCGTTATAAAACCGAACTACAATTTCCATATTAAAATTTTATACTATATCACATTAATAAAAATTACACACTACACACCGAGAGGTTCTTTCGCTTTTAAAAATCGAAATTTTTGGGTACATTACGTCATCTCGCGAGGTTCTTTTCGCGTTACATTCGGTACAATTCGTTTATTAGTTAAGAGTAATTAGTCAATAAGTTAGTTTAGGTGGATTAGGGCTGCAGAAGTCGTTTCATTTCTGTGGCGACACCACATTAAAAAAAACGCGCCTAGCAACTCTACCTCCCGGGTGGTGTGGAAAAGAGTTGCATTCTAGCTATAAGTACAATTGTCATAATTAAGTATTTAGATAATTGTTTTTATTAATATATATAGATGTATCACTATAGGTTGCACGCATTACTAATAATTATAAACTTATATCAAAAAGTCTTACAAATAAAAAAAATCAAATAAATCTTTACTTTTAAATTTGTTACTTTCCAGTTTTTTCTTGCTCAAGCTTATAAGTAAACGATTTTTTTAAGTCACTTCTAATTATTAATAATTTTTGCATTTTATACTCTTAAATCAATTAAAAATTATTTAATTTATTAATTCATGGAAAAAGTTCTATTCCAGTTATAACTGTAATTATCAGTATCAAAATATTTAAATCAATATTTTAATTTATATAGAATATTTTAATTTTAATTTGATGTATATGTGGGTATTTCCACTATATATTCTGTTAAAATAACTCAATAATATGATATATAATATTATTTATTACATACATATAATTACTAAATACAGTAGTGTATGTGATTGTATTATTGCTGTGTCTTGAACCTGGATTCAATCTTCTTCCGGGTCCTAGAGGCTGATCCGTTCCCGACTGCGGCGAATGCGATAAAGAGATCGTTTACACTACGTACACGCGTTTTATACCTGGCCAGTAATCCCAACTAGTTTACCGGCCGGTAGTGCGTCTCACTCTTGCGTGTGATATATTACAGGCGCTATCCTGTGGTATTTAGATTCAAGATATATTGGGTGCGCCATCTGGTCGCCACATCAGCCCCCTGCGGAGACCGGAGGTCAAGGCAACCGAAAACGAACCTTACGTCCTGATCTGGTTCTATAAGTTTAATCGTTTGTCCCTTCTGCATATAACATATACGCTGGCTTGATGCGGTCAATGGACACCTTAATATTTTGTGTTGCCCTTTGGATTGTGAATGTTTTGTCCGATCGGTCTATGACTTTGTATGGTCCGGAATATGGTGGTTGAAGTGATTTTCTTACGGTATCGTTCCGAAGAAACACGTGTGTGCAAGTTTTTAAATCCTGAAAAATAAAAACCTTCTTATTAGAGTGATCGGATGCTGGAGTGGGTCTCAACTTTGCCATATGCTGTCGGATTCTAGGAACAAAATTCGTTATGTCTTCAGTGGAGGTTTCTGTTTGGGAAGTAGTTACCATATCTCCTGGTAGACTAAGTGGTTCGCCATATACTAACTCCGCTAGAGATGTTTGTATGTCTGGTTTAAAAACACAGCGCATGCCAAGTAATATTAGTGGGAGTGCCTCTAGCCATGTTGTTCTTTCGTAGCACATGATTGCTGCTTTTAATTGTCTATGAAACCTTTCTATAAGACTGTTTGAACATGGATGATAACTGCATGTTCGGAAACGTGTTGTGCCAGTTGTGTTATTTAATGCTCGGAACAGTGATGATTCAAATTGTCTTCCTTGATCGGTAGTAATTTTTGTCGGTACTCCAAACCTAGAGATCCAGGACGATGATAAGCCTTGAGCAACTTCTTCTGCCAAGATGCTTTTTAATGGCCACACCTCAGGCCATCTTGTGAACCGATCAATAACGGTTAGACAATATTTATATGAGTCGACTGATGGTAGTGGTCCAATAATGCCTATGTGCATATGTGCGAATCTTCCTGTCGGCAATGGGATTGATCCATGTGGCGAGTGTACGTGACGGGATATCTTAGCACGTTGGCATTGTTGACAGCTACGCGCCCAAGTGCGGCAATCCTTTTGAATAGACGGCCAAACATAACGGGAACTAACCAACTTCGCCGTTGCTCTGATACCAGGATGGCTCAACTGATGTAAAAGTTCGAAAACTCGTTGCCGTAGTGGACCAGGTACATATGGGCGCTGAGTCGATCTTGTCATGTCGCAGTAAATTTTGATCTTGGAACCGGGGATAGGTACTTGTTGAAGGCGAAGTGTGCTATTGCCAGCGATTAGTTGTTTTAGTTCTGGATCATCACGCTGATATTCTGCAATGATCTCGTGGTTGATTTCTTCTGTTGTTGATACCAGATTGATACGAGACAATGTGTCGGCAGTGATGTTTTCGTGACCTGGAATATGCCTAAAATCTGTCGTAAATTGAGAAATAAAATTTAGTTGATTTAATTAGACCGGTGGTAGTTTCTCGCGACGCTGTTGAAATGCAAATGTTAACGGTTTATGGTCGGTAAATATTGTGCAATGGTGGGCTTCCAAAAATTGTCTAAAATGTTGTACAGCCAGATAGACTGCTAATAACTCACGGTGATAAGCTGGCCATGAGCTCTGTCGCGAACTCATTTTGCGTGAGAAAAATGCTCGTGGTTGCCACTTGTTGTTCACCACTTGTTGAAGGCAGGCTCCTACAGCTGTTTGAGAGGCTGTAAAAAGTCCCAATAAAGCGCCGTGAATTGGGTGATGTAGCAATGTAATTTTACTCAAACTTTCTTTGCAGCATTGAAATGCCTGGTCTAGCTCTGGAGTCCACGTGATTGTTTGATTGCCTCTTATACCTGCTAATGCTTCGTGGAGTGCTGTTTGATGTGATGCTGCATTAGGAATGAAACGACGATAAAAATTCATCATTCCCAAAAATCGTCGAAGTGATTTTGCGTTGTCTGGGCGAGAAAAATTCTTTAGATCTTCTATACGTCCAGATGGTGGTTTGGTGCTTTCTGCGGAAATTTCGTAACCTAGAAAATAGACTTGCGGAGCACAAAAGGTGCTTTTTGATTCATTAATTAATATCCCATTATTAGCTAGGCGTTCAAATATTACACGTAAATGCTTGCGATGTTCTTGTTCGTTGTTTGAAAAAACTAAAATGTCGTCAATATAAGCGAAACAAAAATCTAATCCGGTCAATAACTCGTCAATGAAACGTTGAAAAGTTTGTCCAGCATTCCTCAAACCGAAAGACATGAATGGAAATTCGTATAAACCAAAGGGTGTAGATATTGCCGTTTTTGGAATATCTCGTTCTTCGACTGGTATTTGCGTATACGCTTTGACCAAGTCTATCACTGAAAAGATTGTGCATCCTTGTAGATTGGTGAAGAAGTCGTGGATGTGACGAATTTGGTACTTGTCTGGTACAGTTCGTGCGTTGAGTGCACGGTAGTTGCCACAAGGTCGCCATCCTCCATCCTTCTTTTCTACAAGGTGTAAGGGCGAAGACCATGAGCTCTTTGAACGCCGGGCTGTTCCTTCGTGAAGCATTACTTCGAATTCGGCCTTTGCGATCTTGTAACGATCAGGCGCAAGACGTCGTGGGCGGCAGGACACTGGTGGACCTGGTGTTGTGATTATTGAATGTGTTGTTTTGTGCTTTATTTTGCGTGGTGTTCCAGACGGTTTAATTAAATTTGGAAACTCTGCCAACATGTTATGTATTACTGACCTTTTATTTTTGAGAGTTTTTATTTTTTGTTGGGGTGTCTTGATAGTCACTCCAATTGTACACAAACCTGTGGTTCCGTCCACGATCCTTTTGTTTCGGCAATCTGGCAGTAGTCCGAAGAAAGCTAAGAAGTCGGAGCCTATGATTGGTGAATCCACGTCTGCTACAATAAATTGCCAGCTGAATTCTCTTCTTAGCCCGAGGTTAAGGCGTAGGTGTTTTTGACCGTATGTTTTAATCCGTGTACCATTGGCTGCTTGCAACTCGTAATTTGTCTTGATACACCTGCGAATGGACCTCCGAGGATAGCAGAAAACATCTGAACCTGTATCTATTAAAAACTTAATATTATTATTTTTGTCAAAAACAAATAGGTGACCTTTAGGGGTTTTGTGATCAGCCGTCGCCTTTACTGATCTTTTTCCTCGTTTTTTGTATTAGATGTTTTACGGTACGTATTCCAGGAGCAAGGTGCCTGACATTTTCTTGCTTTTCTGCCGAATTGATTATGGTACCAACATTTTGTGTATTCCGCCCGTTCTCTACTTTTTGATCTTGATCTTCCTTTTTGATTTAAATATCGAATTTGTTTCTGTAAGTCGCGCACTTGCTTGGTTAATTCTTCCAGTTGATCACTCTGGCGTTGCTCGGAAGGTTTATTATAGTGCACTTGTTTGGTTGAATCTACGTGGTGGATTAACGGCTGTACCTCTGAAATTTTATCTGCGGTAGCTGCTAGTTTATCTAGAGGCAGGTCGCTTTGTGTTTGTAGTATGGCGCGTATGTACGCAGGAAGCCGTTGCATCCATAGTGATCTGAACATGCTTTCACCGATTGTCGTGTGGCCAGCAAGGGAACGTAAATGTCGAAGAAACTGCGATGGACGGCGATCTCCTAACTCTTCTTCAGAGAGGATTTGTTTGATTCTGGTTTCTTCCGCAGCACATAGTCTGCTTATAAGTACTTTCTTCAAGTAGGAGTAGGGGTTTTCTGTCGGTGGTTGTTTAATGACATCTTCTACTTCTCGAGCCTGTTTCTCCTCGAGGTTTGCGATTACATATGAGAATCTTGTGTTCTCATTGGTTATTGTTGCGATGTCAAACTGTGCTTCAATTTGTGAAAACCAGAGATCCGGGCTGTTCTCCCAAAATGGTGGAAATTTCACCGATACTCGATTCACTAACTCGAGTTGAGAAATGTGCTTTGAAGGAGACTCTTGTGAATACTTTGAAGAAGTACCTTCTGAATCCATGCTTGAAGTTTATTTTTTTATGCGGTTGTCCACTCGACGGGGTCACCATTTATGTGGGTATTTCCACTATATATTCTGTTAAAATAACTCAATAATATGATATATAATATTATTTATTACATACATATAATTACTAAATACAGTAGTGTATGTGATTGTATTATTGCTGTGTCTTGAACCTGGATTCAATCTTCTTCCGGGTCCTAGAGGCTGATCCGTTCCCGACTGCGGCAAATGCGATAAAGAGATCGTTTATACTACGTACACGCGTTTTATACCTGGCCAGTAATCCCCACTAGTTTACCGGCCGGTAGTGCGTCACACTCTTGCGTGTGGTATATTACAGGCGCCATCCTGTGGTATTTAGATTCAAGATATATTGGGTGCGCCATCTGGTCGCCACATATATATGAATTTATTACAAAATAATATCGAATTGTATAAAATATTAAAAAATACAAATTAATAATAATAATTAATTTGCTTTTTTTTTTTACATTGACTTTTTCACAGAAATTTGTAAACAAATTTTAGACTTTTTAGAAAGAATAACTAAAAATTATCATTTGAATCGTGCGTTGAAAATATATTTTTGGGTGGTACTGCAATGTGAAAAGTTGTACGTTTTTTAGTAGTATTAATATTACTTGTAAGAAAGCAGAAAGTTAAGGTTAAATTATTACTTAATCAGCCTGTTTAATAGGTGTGTATCTATTAATATAAAAATACTTATTTCAAAAAAACTTATTTCAAAAATAAATGCAACAATAAAAGAATACATTATAAGTAATTTATTAATGGGAGAAAGTTGACCAAAAATAAAAACTTGTTTTAAAAATGCTCTACGGGACGCAGCACGTCTTGCCATCAACAGGAAGCAAAGGTTTTTTGAATTATTCAAAAAATCCGTGCGCCCGAAATCGTGGACGATAATTGCATCCAAACATACATACACAAACACACATACTTCAAATGTTCTGTAACCTTTGAAAGGTAAAGATATGCAAAAATTTCCATTTTCAATTTTTTACGATTATTATGACTTACCCTACAAGAAATTGATAATAGAATAGAATTCAACTTAAACATTTTCTATATCCCAATTAGAAATAGGAGCATGCCAAGCATCTATTATTATAATGCCTACAGGCGTATTAAATGTGAATTTCAAAATTTCATAAACATTGAATAAAATATAACATTTTTCATACCACAAATATTGCAGGCTATAAAACTATTAAACTTTTTTATCATACACATATTTGTATTATCGTCAGTTGTGAGTGTTTAACCCAGCGATTTCCAACCTGTGGGGCGCACCAATTCTAAGGGGGCCTTATATTGTTCCAAGGAGGGCGCGACGCTGTTTTAAAAATATTAATTTTAAATGTTGAGTAATTGAAATATTAATTTTAAATGCTGAGAAACTGCCATCTAAAAAAATCTAGATATGTTCAAATACGAATGGAACAGAAATCTATTTGTCATTGTGAAATATGATGATATGCTGAAAAACAAGCTCAACCGTCGCATTACTTTTTTCTAATGGTGTGATTATTATTTTTCTATGATTTGTTTTCATTAAAATTATTTTGTCTTATAATCGATAGTTATGTTTGTATGTATTTTTTTAATATTGTGTATTATTTGGCATACTTTTAGTTAAGTATATTTAAATTAAAATATTAGAACAATTAGGGGGGGAGCGCAATATTTTTTTCTGTCGAAAGGGGGGCGCAAGGAGGAAAAGGATGGAAACCACTGGTTTATCCCCTTAACTTAGGATTTTGATACAGTTTTGTTTTTGTGTTTTATTGTTTTGTTAAAATAAATATTTTGTAATAATTGTGTCAAATAATACAAATATTATAAAAAATATACATGCAAACATAACTATTGATTATAGGAAAAAACTAGTTGGTTTGGTATTTAGCCTTGAGGCAAGTTACATAAACTTCTTGATATGTATAAATAATCGACTTAATCAATAATAAATAAATTAATTTATGAGTGATTAAAAGTATTCATTGCAAACGAACAAACGAACACGTTAACTCGGAGTATTTTCTAAAAGCAAACTTTCAAAAATCATTAATATTAATTAATCAATAATTATAATTGAACCAGTTTCTGTAGGACTTTGATTGTTTACAATGTTCAACACCAAGTACACTTGTTATACCAACTAAATCGTCTAATTTTATTTTTAACAAACGTCAAAAAACTACTCATTTTCTCAAACTTTGATAAATTTTTAAAATTAAACTACTTGTCGTAAGGCCGTAATATTTCAGTATGTTCTATAAGACCATGATATATATATAGTTTCATGAAAATCGGCTTAAATTTTTTTTTCAACATTTAATTACAAGATAACGGCTCGGTAGATTTTTACCCAAAACTAATCAGTATCATTCCCAACTAATATCTTTCGAACAGTTTTTGATTTTTTAAAATCGGTTCGGTAGTATGAGCTTAAATGTGGACGAAAGGTTTAACACTTTTTTCCAAATTACAACGAAACGGCTCAGCCGATCGTCGCACAAAACTGAGAAACGATAATCCTCATCGAGATAAGTCAAATGCTTTTTAAATATCTGAAATCGGTTCAGGCGTTTTTGAGCAAACGTCGATGAAAGTTCTAATTTTGACACATGCCAAAAAGACCATACTAACTTTTGCAAACTTTGATGAATTTTTAAAGCTGAACCAGTTGTCGTACAGCCGTAATATCTTAGTATGATCTAGAAGACTATGGTATCTGCCGTCAAAAAAATAATCATAAAAATCGTCGAAATTTTTTTTTTCAAACTTTATTACAAGAAAACGGCCCGGCCGATCTCTACCAAAAACTAATCAGCACGATTTCCAATCAATATCTTTCGAACGGTTTTTGAATTTTCAAAATCGATTCAGAATTGCGGGCTAAAACGTAAACGAAAATTTTTTTACTTTTCTGCGATTTATAAAGAAACGGCTTGGCTGATCGTCGAGATACATCGACAATAGTCCTCATCGAGATACATCGAGTGGCTTTTAAATTTTTGAAATCGGACCAGCCGTTTTAGAAAAAACGTCGATTTGTGGCAAAAAATTTGTTCACATACACGCACACACACACATACACACACACATACACACACACACATACACACACACACATACACACACACACATACACACGCAGAAGGCGGCCGGTTCGAACCCGGCACGCAAGCGGAGGTTTTAGTCGGTATTATACCAGGGCGGTATCGAGTCCGACATACCCAGACAGAAGACCGGTCTGGGATGCATAAAGGCATTTCCTTCGCTATACAAAAAAAAAAAAAAAAAAAAAAAACATACACACGCACACATACTTTTTCTAATATTGGTCTCTCGCTGCCTCGAATATGATTAACAATTTTTACAACGTGTTTAGCAAATCGGGTGGAAGCGTTTTCACAGCCAAAGCGAAATGGTGTATCAGGCCATTTTCCTCAATAAACTCTTTTAGCGTTTGAAATACGTCTTCGCCGCGGGTAGTAGCGGGCAAAGACTTGCAGAACAAATATTTCTCCTTTACATCGCCATCTTTAAAGTATCGTGAAAACATCAATAATTGTGTCCACTTGCAGCGCAAACATAGGACTTTATTTTATTTTGTTTACCGTACTATTATTTTGTTTATTGCTATTTTAATACTATTTCGTGCCATCCTTTGTTACCCCTCTAGAATCTTTGTTTTACCCTTGCGGGGGTAATTACCCCCAGGTTGGGAACCACTACATTAGATGATTCCGGCCGGGTTCGAACCGGCCGCCTTCTGCGTGTTAAGCAGATGTGATAACCACTACACCACGGAACCTACAAAAATAAAACGCATTTGCAGCACGCATCGCCAATATTTAATAAAAGCTTAGAATAAATATTGAAGACTTCGATGTATGATTCATCGTGAGAATGCACCGACAGTCAATAAACCACCAAAACTCTTTATTGGATTTGAATAAATATAGAGGATTTCATTATATGATTCCGGCCGGGATCGAATCGGCGGCCTTCTGCGTGTTAAGCAGATGTGATAACCACTACACCACGGTACCTACAAAAACAAAACGCATTTGCAGCTATATTGAGGACATCGATGTAAAATTCATCATGATAATGCACCGACAATCTTGTGTTTTGATAAATATAGAAGATTTCATTAGATGATTCCGGCCGGGATCGAACCGGCGGCTTTCTGTATGATTTATGATTCATCATGGGATTGCATCGACAATCAATAAACCACCAAAAACCTTTATTCGTTTTGAATGAATATAGAGGATTACATTAGATGATTTCGGCCGAGATCGAACCTGCGGCCTTCTGCGTGTGAAGCAGATGTGATAACCACTACACCACGGAACCTACAAAAATAAATCGCATTTGCAGCACGCATCGCCAATATTTAATAAAAGCTTAAAATAAATAATGAAGACTTTGATGTATGATTCATCGTGAGATTGTACCGATAGTCAATAAACCACCAAAATTCTTCATTTGTTTGGAATAAATACGAAGTATTTCATCAGATGATTCCGGCCGGGATCGAACCGGCGGCTTTCTGCGTGTAAAGCAGATGTGATAACCACTACACCACGAAACCTACAAAAATAAAACGCATATGCAGCACGCATCGCCAATATTTAATAAAACTTTAAAATAAATATTGGTGATTTCGATCTATGATTCATCGTGGGATTGCACCGACATTCAATAAACCACCAAACGCCTTTATTGGTTTTGAATAAATAAAGAGTATTACATTACATGATTCCGACCGGGATCGAACCGGCAGCATTCTGCGTGTTAAGCAGATGTATAATTTATCATGGTATTGCAACGACAATTAATAAACCACCAAAACCCTTTATTGGCTTTGAATAAATATATAGGATTTCATTACATGATTCTGGCCGGGATCGAACCGGCGGCGTTCTGCGTGTTAAGCAGATGAGATAACCACTACACCA